TCGCCTTTCAACGCTTTTTGTAGAATCTGTTGCGCTTTTTGTTCGCATCCATCAAAAACAATGGAACCTTCAAGACCATCATGCTTTTCAACACATAGGTATTAATAAACGATTCCACCCTGATCGAAGAGGAAGCAGAGGATGAGTTTAAACTCCCCCTTTCTAAATTTTGTATTACTTCATTTCCTTTTAGTTACTTTGAAAAAAGAAGATTTTTTGTTTGACAAATTTAATTTGAATAAGCAAGCATAAAATAATAACATTATCTTCAAGCGCGGCCATTGACATTTGTTAACTATACAACATGCATGACCTAAAGGGGAAGGGGGGGGGGTTCATGATGAAAGGAAATTAGCACATATATGTATTTAAATGGATAATATGACTTACCCTCGCGGTAAATCTACCAAAAAAGTGAAGCCGTTTCATCATGGACCGCAACAATGCATGGCGCGGCTAAGCCGAGCCTCACCGCGTAGTAGCCGCCGTTGGTTCGGACCGCATAGCGCTCCGGGGGCGGACCCCCTAGTGAATTCATAAGCATTTTTAGCATGGAAATTTCATGTTCTTTCATTCCGGTGAGAACACTTTTTTGCCTCAGACTCGCCGTTTTTAAGATAATTACAGATTTTGTTGAAAAAACGTGATTTCTCGCAAGATTTGACTTTTCTAGCCGCAGGAAACTACCGCCACATCTCACGAACCAGAAGTCGCAACTTGATAAATGTATAGCGTTTCTAATAGGAAATTTTATGATCTTTTTAAAAGGTTCAGTGACATTTTTCCGTAGGATCGATATTTTTCAAGATAAAAGCTAAAAACCGGTCGCCGGCGGCGTATTTTGGCCCCCCGCCCCCCCTTTTTTCAAGATGGCGGCCTTAGCGGACGGCCGATTTTGGTAAACTTTTGATATGTTGTTCTGGTAGCCTAATGCAACATGTTTCCGCAAAAAAACCTTCTATATATAGATTTTCCCAGAAAAATGCTAGATTGACTGGACTACCGGGCTACGTGCCTCGCCGATATTAGGTGAAGATGAATGTTTCTGCTCGATCATGAGGACCGGTTTTTCAGTAAAATTTTTCCACCCCATCCGCTTTGATAGTCGGATGTTGAGCACTTGGTAATATTTTCGTTTTCTCTAAAGCTCTAAGTTTTAAATGCGCACAACACGATCCACCGAACAACTCAGTCAACTTTAAATATAATCCATCTTATGCCGACCAAGTTCTCAGCCAAGACCCAACAACGTCAAAGTCTTGGGTTTCCTCAGTCCCGCAACTGAGACCACAAGTCAAATTTGACAAGGAGCGTTTTGTTTGCACCCGTCGAAAACTTTGGCAATATATCTACGGCAAAGATTTCCCAATATGAGCGACTAAGTAGAGTTGAAATGAGTTCCTCTGAATCGCATGGGCTGTGTCTTCCGGAGGAGGACCAAATAATATCAGCTGTTGCCATATTTCAGCGGACAATTTATTTTTTTACAAGACAATAGGTCAACAGGTGAACCGATTCGTTTAAAAGTTTCAGGTTTTTTCTGCGGTATGAAGCAGATTACCTGCAATGTTAAAGACAATCTACATGGTCGTTCGTTTGAAAAAAAAAAAAAAAAATCCCAAACAACCAAATTGAGTTGTCCGATCAAAGGCGGATTTAGACACTTCGAATGGGGGTGGGGGCGGACGGGGGGTCCGGGAGGCCTCCCCTAGAAAATTGTCGAAATTTTAAAGCATCTAATATGCACATTTCAGTCAAATTTGTCATGAAAAATTACCAAATATAGACGTCCTTGCTTTTTCTTTCCTCCGTTTCTTCCAACTCTTTTCCTTTCCCTTTTCCCTCCCTATTCTTTTTTCCAAACCAACGGGGGGAGCGTGCGCCCCCTACGCTTCCCCTTGGACCCACCTGTGTGTCCAATAAAATAGCAATAAATCGAGAGCGTTTTAAAACTAGAGCCGTTGCTTTTTAAACGTAAGGGTTTTAAGCGATGATTTGGTCGTAAATGCGTCTTGGATGAAATGTAAAGACGGAAGTCTCAATTAAATTCTTCGTTCAATTTAATGGTAAAAACATGAACATTTTTGACATCCGAAAACTCCTTATTTGCTAAAGTAGCATATTCTTTTCGGTGTAATGTATCGAAGTGGTGGATGGATAGGTATTCAACCAAAACCTAGGGCTCAATTTCAAGCAGTATGACAAACAAGTGTGGCAAACATATGTCTGTTCGCATTTAATTTGGAGAACAGATCCAACATGATACTCAACAGCCCAGAAGATTATTTCAAGGATTGGTTGGTGGAGCCCCGAGAAGTTGCCACGAGTCGTCAAAAGGCTACTGGAGGGTCTCTTACTCTCTCTATAGAGAGATCCCTCAGAGAAGTTAGGAGTCTCGAAATGGAATTTGCTTACTACCATAGAGTACATAGAGACGGCATGTAATAGGAGAGCTGGTGCCACGCTCTGGTCGACAAGTTCCGAGCCCGGTGTGCGCCGAGCTTCGGTCATTTTTTCGATTCAAAATGGCGATGTACAATACGTAGCAATTTCCATCCTCTCTCCCCGCGTATTGAAAACAATCGATTATGTATCGAAAAACCCGGCGTGACACAGTAGTCACAGTAGTAGGATCCGGGACCTGGAAAATGCTTAAAAGTGGCGCCAGCTTTCCCATTTACACACGGAAAAAAAAATTGCTGATTCAACAATTCAATTGCTAAAAACAGTGAGTGCAATGTTTCGACGCAGATTTTACAACAAAAAAATGCTACTTTAACCACATTGTAAACTAAATTAACCACGGGGGTGGTTAAATTAGCATTTTGGCGCGTATACGTAGTATACCGCCTTTGCGATCGTTTCGACCCCCCCCCCCCC